GTTGTATTAAGTTATACGTGTCATAAGACATTAGTGTTAGTCCTACTGCGTCTTTAAACACTACATTATCTAGTTTTTTGAATAATTAGAACAGCGTACAATCCCTAAAGAACTTGATAATGTAGTATTTATAATTTAGGCCTAACATTAATGTCTAATGATAAATATAATTGTAATTATTCTTCGCCAGCCTGTAAAAGGCATAGAGTCAAGTAAACAATTGTAAACATCTTTAATTGTTGATAAAAGAAAGATTACATATTGTGAATGAAAACTCTAACAGAAATATCAACTTTATTCAAATAGCTTTTTGAGATTAATATTTTAATTTCTTAACACTATTTCATTATATTCCAATGTTAGTTCACCGCTTTAAAGATGTTTTCTTATACATTATTCTCGTAGATTTACTGATGATGGAATATTTATAATTCCGAAACGTTCAATTATTAAAGATGTTAGCCCCCACTAGCTCAGTGGTGAGTCTCAAAGTTTATAACTCTAAAAACCGGGTTTCGATACCCGTGTTTGGCCACAGCATAGATAGCCCAAATGTGTAAGTTTGTGCTTAAGAGTAACAGCAACATTACTGTTAGTAGCAGCCAGTATAGAGACAAGATGACAAGTTTTTGTTGTTATTTTATAAACCAAAACCACCTGTTCTTAGCCCACACATTTATCGATTGAGACAGGGATAGTGAGTGTCATCTGTTTGTTATTTATCTTTCAACAGTTCAAGAAAGGAGAGCCGCCAAACCCGAAACGGATTTTCCACGACATCGTTTTAAGATGTGACATTTGCAACGCGGGGTAACAAGTTGAACAATATTAGTAATAATAGACCAATATTATTTGTAATAACAGATCAACAATACTGGTAAATGTGGTCTTTCAACTTTATTGTAACAATAGATCAACAATACTGGTAAATGTGGTCTTTAAAATTTATTGTAACAATAGATCAACAATACTGGTAAATGTGGTCTTTAAAATTTATTGTAACAATAGATCAACAATACTTTATTGGGCT